AACATATCAGTTACTACTCCTGGTTCCTTGGAATAATTATTGAAACAAAGCCTAGCTGCTGAATGTTGGATCATATCAAGATGATGCATGTCTTTTTTTAAATATGGATAGCAGGCAGAATTTGCATATTCAATCTCAGGCCTAACTAAACTATTGTAAAACTTGGATAATTGCAGTCTACAGAGACATTTCTAAAGTTCTTCCTAATGATACCAACAGTTTGTTTGGCACTTGATGTTATAATTATGCAGAATATACTCTGACCATTTAAGGTCTTCAGAAAGTATCACACCTAAGTAGCAATGGTGATGGACTTTAGTTAGAACATGATTATTAAGAACATATGTTGTATCTAAATTAGATTTTTTAGTGGAGAAGCAGATGGTGTGGCATTTATCAACATTTAGTGACATTTGCCAATCTTTCTCCCATTTAGTTAACGCATCTAAATCTTTCTGTATGTTTTGGCAGTCAACTGGACTATTTTATACTAACAATCTCATTGTTAATGAAATACATGGGGGCAAGTCATTAATGTAAATCAGGAACAGTACTGGCCCTAAAACCATGCCTTGAGGGACTCCTGATGTCACAAAACACTGATTTGATAAAACACCCTCCAAGGCTACCCTCTGTGTTCTTTTAGTATTAAGAAACACATGGATTCAGGACAACAAGCTGCCCTGAATTCCTTAATGACTCAGCCTATAGAGCAGCCTCTGATAAAGTACTCCATCAAAAGCTTCAGAGAAATCTAATATAAAGGCATCAACCTGTTTCTTGGAGTTCATTGCACTAACTATTTTATAACTAGCCATTATAAGTTGGGTTTTGCAATTCCTCCGCTTGCAGAAACCATGTTGAAAATTACTAAACACATTATGATCTTCCAGGTGCTTCCAAATATGATGTATACTGCAATATGTTCTAGTGTTTTGGATGTTACTGAAGTAAGAGATAGTGGTCTATAATTACTTGCTAAAGATCTTTTCCCCTTTTTCAAAATTGGAACTACATTAGCTTTAATCCAGTCATTTGGCAACTGACCCTGATCTAATGACTGTTGAAAAAGTGAAGCCAGGATGGGTGCCAGCTCATGTGATAGCTCTCTCAGAATATATGTTGGCACACCATGTGGCCCACTAGCTTTATTCACAGTAAGAGATTCAAGAAGTTTCTGGACACCTAATGATGTCACTATTATTTGATTAAAATTTGGGCATGATAGACTAGGATCTAAATTAGGTAAAGAGTTGAGCTTTTCTTTAGTGAAAAATAGAATGGAAATAATCATTAAGAACATTAGCTTTACCATAATTATCAGATGCATTAGTATTATCTTCCTCTAATGTATTTATCCCTATGTTATCTTGTCTTTTAGATTTAACAAATCTCCAAAATTTCTTAGGCTGATCTGAACTAGGTGTTTCAATTAAGTTGTTGATATATTCATAATATGCCTTATTAAGTTGTTTCTTGTAAATCTTACAAGTGTTCCTGTATTTTGTTCTAAATACATGGAAAATTCTCAAGTTAAATGTAACTGATACTCTTTCTCCTCTTGTAACTTGTGATGGAAAACATGCTCTGATTGAAATCCTGAAAATAATAGTCAACTTTTTGTAGGGCATCTGAGCTTTGCCTGATGGGCCATCTGACTGTGGATGCCTGATGCCATGAAAAATTCATTTTACTTCAATTAATGTCAGCAAAACATTGAACATTTTTTTAGTTCCTGTGGGATGTAAATCGATCAAAAGACTGTAGTGGCTGGATTCATTAATTTTGTGCTTCTATATTGGAAATGTGTTTTCAAAGTAGTTGTTGAAAAATCAATTTTCTAGTTTACTCCTGGCTTGTTGTGAATTACATTTCTTCATTTTGGGCCTAAGAAATAACTGATACATGTACCTCTACTCCAGAAATACTGAAAACTGCTGCTTATAAGCTGCCCCACTTAAAAGCCCAATTCAAAGTTCTCAAGTCTTTCACATTCGGTGTGAGACTCACGCAAAAAAATTTAATATCAATGATGTTCTCAAGCTGAAACTAATGTTTCTTATTACTGCTGCTTTCATTAAGTAATTATGAAATTATTATCCTTTTAAATATAATTTACTCCTTGTTCACTTTGAACTTGCTTCAAAGTTTTTCCAGTAGTGGAAATGCCTTCTTTAAGACTAAAGTATGCCATGGCAAATTCATATTTTTTCACAATTTTCAGGGGAAGTATGCCCCCATTCCCCCCTAAATATGGTGGTACCCACTGCATCCCATTTGATGGCTAAAATGCAGATGAAAATCTCAGTCATGAAGGTAGCAAAGGGTGTGGGTTCACCCTGAGTGCCCCATTTGACTTTTAACCCCCTAAGACATTGGTATTCATATTCTCCACACTGTTCTCTTTACATTTCCTATGGAACAGACAAGGAGAATTTGTCAAAGAAGTATATTTGATAGTGAAACAAATAGAAAAGTCAGTTTAGAACATGTAATAGCTACATCAATTGTTTAGTAGGTGTTTTAATTGATGAAAATCTTTCTTGGAAAAACCAAGTTGACTGTGTTATCACTGAAATAAGTAAGACCATACAAATGATTGCTAAGGTGAGAGAGATTGTTCCATCATCTGTCTTTATAAATATCTACTGTATAAATCCTTAATTCTACCTGATATAACCTATGGACACCCTGCTCAGTGCAATGGGTCTAAAAAATATAATTATAGTAAACAAAATTGCTGTTCTCCAAAAGCAAGTTTTGTGTTTAATTTACCTTACTGATAAAAAAGAACATGCTATCCCCTTATTTATAAATGCAAAAATTCTACCTATTACCATCATATAATATGAAGTCGAATATAAATTAATACTTGATGTTCATAACAACAGTGCACCTTCTAACATCATTAAACCTTTTGTGAGAACATCAAAAAATTATACCTAATAGTTACTCACTCATCAACATTACAACTTAATTGTTAGGATTAAGTACTCCAGGTGTCAAAATCTGGAATGAGATGCCAAATGAATAGAAAAATTTATCAAAGAAATCCTTCAAAAAAGAAACAAAAAAGCTCCTCACAATATTCTAGAGACTGAAGATTCTTACATCAAGTCTGATGAGATAATGGTTAAATTTAAACATGGCAAAATTGAAACAAATTGAACTTGCAGTTGTACAATATCTTTGGTGCACTTAGATACTCGGGAATTTTTTTTCTTTCACAATGAATGCCTTTCATTTTCCATTCCCTTTTCTTGTGCATCCTTTAATATTTTTTTCATGTATTATTTTCATATTTACTGTCAACAAAATCTGCTCAAAATTTTCAATTTTTGTTTCCTCATAAGTTAGAGAAACTAGTTTAAATCACCTAAAAGACATTTAATTTACCAAAAAAATCTTAAAAAGGTGAGATACAACAGAGAGAATATTTTAGGAAACCTTTGCAGAAGAGCAAAAGGCGTCATAATTAGAAACTGGCCTCCAGCAGAGTGTTAATGTTTTCTGTAGGCTTTTGTCCAGGATCTCAATTTGCATATATTGTTTTCATCACATCTTGCACTGTACATTTACTGGGAATCTTTAGCACATTTTGCAAAATGTTGAGTAATGAGAGTATTCATCAAATGGCCTAAAAGAGTGGATTTAAAGTGGAAGAGAGCACAAGCCAAAGAAATTGAAATTAAGTTGTTCACTTTGACCAGCTTGCTTGATAACTTTTGGATTATGTTTAACTCATGTTCCCGTTTCACAAAATGACCTTTCCCGCAAATTTTGAAGGAGTTATTCGTCAGGAGGCTTGTCAGAGGGTTCCATGTTGTGTTTCATAATGGTCAGTGGCATGACCACATTGACACATGCTTTTGAAAAGGAGGCAAGAAAACTGTTAATTTCTTTGGAGGTCAAAAACTAGAGGTTTGTTTTTACACAAGTTACCTCAGTCTACATTAATAGGTAATGTAGATTTGTTGGTTTTCATGAAAATTGCCTTGAATGTTCCTCAGAAGTGCATAAGGCTTTAATGAAATTTGAAATAATTATTTCTCTCACAATTTATCAGAGTTTGACATCAAGGGAAATCCAACCTCACAATATATTTTCTCAGTAACCAATGGGAATATCGAAATTGCCTGACACACTTTGTTAGCCTATTATCTGCTGAGTGATACTGTTCAGTTTGTTTCAAGGTCCGGAGTAACACAGAGGCTGGTAATTCAGTAAAGCAAACACCATCAATGCTGCATTTAAATGCTTACGGCCGTGCCTACCAAAACAAAAAAAAACTGTGAAAAGTTTTGTCATTGACAAAATGCAAGGCATGAAACCATTTTAAATTTAGTGCTCCTGCAATCATCACCTTGCACAAGGTGATTGTAACAAGAAATTACACATCATCCTTGATCAACAAGAGCATGCACATTGCTATTAAATCACTTGACCAATTATAATAATACCTATTATCAGCACAAATCTACAAGACCAATTGTATAATTGTAATGGTGCAGTCTGCAGAGCAGTAGGGGATTGTAATCATCCTAACAGCATGTGGACTGGTAAACAAAAGTAAAAATGTACTGAACTTAGTTAATTTGTTGTTAAGTTCACAACATAGTGGATTATTAGTAGATTATTATCTTTTAATAATTGAGAAGGGTAGAGCCCAAGAAGCTCTATATACATGTATTAACTGGCTTTGGTCCCACTTTAGTGATGAAGACATAATTTCTCCTTGCAATATTGATACAATATAAGGCAGAGAAGTGATGAGAATAAAGAGAAATATCAAAAAGAGGGTAATAAGTCGATCTAATACTCATAACATTATAAGAATTGTATGGCAGACAGAAAGGGGAATTAGTAATGAGATCTGAGTTTGGAGTGAAAGAGTCGAGTACTTAGTGATAGAAATCCATATGACACTATAAGATGATTTTTCATTATTATACTAAAAATGTACATAAAGATATTAATAATTCTCAACCGTCCTAATTTCAGAAAGAAGTCACCTCTTCCAGGTGCATGTCTTAGTTTTCAACTGAGGTAAGAATAATGTCTGTAAAATGAACAGATATGTTAAGAATTCTTGACCAGTTCAATGACGTTAACTCTTTTCATTAAGAATACGAAATCTTGATCAATAGTTATAACATGGTTGATAAGAATTGTTGGCTTATTTAAGCTTGATATGTTTGAACAAGGGGTGAAGGGGGGGGGGATCTTGCACAGGTTACATCAAAAAGTTCAAATATTGCATCACTAAATATTGGGTAATTAAACAACTTTAAGGTTCACATAATTATTGCAAAAAGGAACAAATTTACAGTTCATGGGGTTTTACCTTCATACTTTCACAGATCGCAAAAATTAAAAACACTCAGTCGCACATCAAGCAAAAACCCCTTTCACCCCCTTTATAATGAGGATGAATTAATATTTACTACAGCACATGGCATCAGCTGCTACACCAGCATCTCCTTCTACCAAGGAGACAACCAACTATGCCCGACTCTGTCGCCTTCTGGTGGATGTTGGATCCCAAGCCTTGAGAGACACTTTTGATGCCATTCACCCCCCAGTAGGACTTCATACAGTTTTGGGGCGTCACCCAGAGCATGCAACACTAAAGTCTCTAAAGAGCAAGAGGGTGCTGAATGCAACGCAATGGGGGAAACTATATCCAGCTATTCCATCATCTGTTTCATCGGCAGGGTTTGATATCACACTACTGATGGTTTTACTAAGGAACATCTGTGGGATAGCTCCTCCCAGCACTGGATGGGACAGACTTCCCCCGTCTACAGATTTGAGTAAGCAGGCCAACATCGCCAGGCTGAAATACTACCGTAATACTGTGTATGGCCATGCCAGCCAAGCCTCTGTGGACGATGTTGCATTCAACAACTACTGGCTGGACATTAGCAATGCCATAGTAGGAATGGCAGGAGCGGGTTATGGAGCGGCTATCAATAAGCTTAAGATTGAGTGTATGGACCCTGATACTGAAGAACACTACAGGCAGCTGCTGAAGCAGTGGAAGGAAGATGAAGACAATGTTAAAGAAAAGCTCCAAGAAATTGAAGGTGCAAATAATTCGTACCTAAGAATGTAACCTCAACCAAGCAAAAGGTGTCGGGAGGAATGACAAAATCAGCCTCAGGCATTTAGGTTTTTATTGGTGTAGTTATGTTTCAGTTACGACTTTTTAATGTTACCCACTGGTAATCTACAGTGGCCATAATCCACATTGGCCAAGAATACTCAAGCAAATCGTCATCTGATCAGAAGCAAAAATAGAACCAATGACGATACAATGGTAAACAGACAGGTTCTGAAGATTAAGAAAAAAAACCCGTAGAGGGATCTATCGCTTGGTTAAATCACAGATTCTCAAAAACAGGTTTAGATAAAGAGAAAAATTTTGTCTGGAGAAAGAAATATTCTGATTCCCCATGAGGAATCGAACCTCAGACCTTCGGATTCCGCGCTCCACTGCTGTATTACTGAGCCACAGAGACGCTATGGTTAGCTAGGCTCATCACGCAGTTCCTATATGACACGCGTCCTGCATGCTATTAGGATCAGCAATGTCGATAGCAGCCTGTTTTTAAATAGAATAAGAAAGATCGTAACTATTGAGCTCGGCTAAAGAAATAGAGAAAGATGTTTTTCATCTTGTCATGAGCGTAGGAAAAACAAAACAAAAAAAGCAAAAGAGAGAGAAAAAACTCTAGATAGTTACCAATGAGTTCGTGGGAGTGAAAGGGTTTTTGAATGTTATGTTATAAAAAAAAAAAAAGGTAAGACTGCTGCTGGAAAACTAACGTGATTTTCCACTCTCAGCCAGCACATGGAACATTAAAAAAGATCTTAATCAGGTGAGATGTGAGGTCGGAAATGTTGTGGAAAAATTGGATACGATGATGGCTCGACAAGAGGAAACAAAGGATCGAGGTAAGTTTAGGATGAAACTCCATCTCTCTCGCTTAATCTCTGATCAGAAAATAAATTATGTTTTTGCATGAGATTTATCAATCTTTAGCATATCTTTGTTAGCTTTTAACGCTTTTTTGCGCGTTATTTGTACCTGAGAAGACATTTAATCCTTTGAAAGAGAATTTAGACCCAATTTGAAGGGAAGTTCTAACTTACGAAATCGTAAAAATGTTTTTACCCTCAGATAAAGTGACGAATGACTTTGACTGGATGAGAACTGAAGTTGGAAATCTACGTGACAAGCTGGACACTTTAATGGCACGACAACATGAAGCACAAGATCAGGGTGAATTCTTAATGCCATTTATTACGTCACTTTTACAATTAAAATTAACCTTTTAAAATTGAGAAGTATGGGAGGTGCTTTAAAATTTTCTAACCTATCAACTGTCAAAGCGCAGTGAGGTGCATATTGCTGTATGTGGTTTGATTATTTTAATGGTTGATGAAAATGTTACAACCCCTCCCCCCCCCCGCCCTAAAAAAAAAGAAAACCACCGCAAGAAACAATAAAAACGAAAAAAAAAGTATTAATGGTACTAATACTCCTAAATAAATTAAAAGGAATGAATGAAGGTTTTTTGGTTTTCCATTGTTGGTTGTTTCAATACGCATGAAATACGAATAAAAAACTTCTTTCAGACAAATATGTGTTTTCAACTTTAGAAAAAATGACAAATGACATTGATCAGATGAGAAGTGAAATTGGAAACATACATGACAAATTGTCAAGTTTAATGATGGCCCGACAAGAGGAAACACAGCATCAAGGTTAGTCCCTACAGCAGCTATGAATTTAAGGGCGATTCATCTATTGAAATGCGGAGTTAATATTAAGAGGGTGGTCACCGTAAGAATGTTGCATTTTTTGAGTGAACAACGTGAAAACAGATTAAACCTATATAACCTCGTAGAACGAAACATAAAGGCCCGGTCATTTACACAAAGTTTGGTCGTTGTTTAACAAAACCACATCCTAAACTACAATTTAGCCGAACCTTTTGTCTGAAAAGTCATTTTTGTGAAAAGTGTCAAGAGAGCCTAAAGCTAACTGCGGAAGGACATTTATTTACTTAAATCAACCCTCTTCTAGGGAATGTCTAAGGCTCATTGTGTAAAACCGTGGTTTGGGTTAGACCTCGTTTAAATAACCGACTCAAAGTTTGTAGACTAACGTGACTCACACTGCAAGTAATGAATTAGCCAAATATACTGACACAATTTGGCATACGATCGCACGGAAATTACGAACAATACAGTAAAGAGGTACTGTTTGTTTTCAATACACAGTTTAGACAAAAACTTGAAAGAAAAGTCTAAAGATGGGCAATGAATAATGCTTAATTTTCATTGAAAGTAGACTTGTGTCTTGTGCGTGCAAAAAGGTGCTCTTTAGAAGGGTTTGCCATAAGACCTCTCATCGCCGTTTATGTAACCGGCGAGGCTGTCGTGTTTGGGTTTTGCCTTACAGCTCTTTTCCGGGCTCAGCTGCCTATAAGACCATCGTCACCCGATTATGGAAATAGTTACCAAAACCTCTGCCAAAACCATTTGGCATGTTGCACAGCAGAGCTGGGAATTACTGTCGCTCATTAACAATGACATTAAGTCATTTTTGAAAAGTTTATTGTTTTTCCTACGCGATCTATTTTAAATGGAGTGGCTATCAGTTGACGCTTCTCTTTCGCTAATAATATTGAAATGTTCATCCTTAGGGGACGTCAAAAATTACCTTGATGAAATCAAGATTGATGTTGGAAACATGAGTCTCAGGTTGGATGATCTGGTAGCACAACAAAGAGAAACAAAGCAGCAAGGTGCGTACTGCGCTAACTAACTAACAATTGGAATACGGGCTCGAATTGGATTTTGAGGGCGAAGCTTGAGTCAACTGTCACGCGTGAAACTGAGAGCGAAAAATCCAGTGGTTTAATTTAATCTAAAAGTCATTCAAAACTTGGAAAAAAGACAGGCTCGTGTTTTTATTGAATATTAATA